TACGTCTTAGCATTTCCTTACCAAGTAGGCTTGCATTTTCCCAGCACAGGACTAGGAAATTGAAATTGCAGGGAAATGTTGTTGTCCTCAGTTTCTTATGATGATTAATATAATAGAACTATAAGGAGGAAAGGGGGAAAAAGGAATCCCTTTCAGAAGCCATTGATCTAAAGTTGAATGAAGGTAGGCTTAAAGGGTTTAGGCCAGGAGCAATTGCCACTTTGTGAAATTCCATATGGGTGGCTTGCTACGTGTCTGCAATATCCCCTCCCCCCATGCAATAAACAAAAAGATATTTAAAAGTTTAAATTTTATTGGGTGTAAAGCTCTTAAAGAACTGCTGTTCGCAAAGAGTATAAAGATTGCTGAGTCTGAATGCATGCACCCCAACTATAGCATGTAAGTCCTGCTGTTTTCTTCCTTTAACTGTAGCTATGTGTTTCCTTCCTGTTCTTTTAATCCTTGTACTTACAAGCACAGAGGGATCACAATCTGATTCCACCTGTGGACAACTGGAGTGGGTATTTTGTGCTTCCAGTGTAACCTGACATAGTTTGAAAGGTTGTCTGGGACCCCTGATGTTCATTTTGGTATGGATGATTTGTTTTCAGTAACAAACATGAATGAGTGGGGGAGGAGTGAAGGAAAACAAATGGGAATAAACTATCACATAAACAGTCCTAAGTCACCGTGTTTGCTGCTAACAGATGCATTTAGGTAAATGCTGTTACCTCAAGAGGTGTTATCTTCTGGGGATCCTTACCATAATTTTGTTTTAAATCTGAACAGCTGCTGTTTAACTACCACAGACCACAATTTATCTACAGCTTGAGGCCATAAAGGTAGCTTTATTACATTCTCTTTTTTTTTCATTTGATTTAATTTCAGTGTGTCTGACAACAAAATGCTATATACAATTTGCATATTACAATATGTACTATTGCAAATTCCGTACACCACTAAATAGGAAAACTGGAGCAGAATGGTAAATGGGGGGACATTGACAATGACAAATAAAAAACGATGATGAGTTCCCATGTTTGATTTACATGTAAAATATTCTGACAATAGTTGTTCCTGCAAAACCAAAGAGCTGGTTTTTCTACAGTGACTGGTTTATGATGATTGCAAAAAACAAAACAAAACAAAACCAAAACAGATTTCTTTTTGGCACACTTTTCTGAAATGAGCCCTGGGGCTTGCCATGTAACTGGAATAAAACGTAAGTCTTACTTAAGAAATCAACATATATAGAAGCACCAACCACTTCACTTTTCCAAAAGTTGCAGCCACAATGTACTGAAATGACCACAGTGCAACAAAACTCTAGGCACTATTTAAACCACAAATGAAAGGATGGGGGCTCAAGCAGACAAACAAATCCATACTTATGGATTCTTAGATGTTCAAAGTTTCTTTAACTTCAATGGTTGTTCAGAAGATAATACCCGAGTCATCTGGACGGGGGTGAATTTCAGCCTTTTAGGAATAACAGTGAGTGAAGGTGGACAAGGGGAGGGAAGGCAGGGGGAGAGAGAGAGAGAGATTGTGGTCTTGCTACTTTCCATTCAAAAGGCTTCCATTCTAAATGTATGTACCTTATAGAAAGTTCAGCAGTTTTTGAGCAAAGGAGCTTAGCACTCTACAAACATACTAGCTTTGAACTTTGCATGGCTCACATAGAACCAAATGTAAAATTCTGTGCACTGTTTGATGTAGGCCCAAAGGGATCCCGGGACTAGCCCCCAGACCATTAAAATACAGCTTGATCATGTGGTGTTGATGAGACAGAACAGTGTCTAGTCACAATCTGAAACTGCCCTACTGTCTGAGAGCTGGATTTTGAGTTAAAGGCATTGTCCTGAAACTGGGAAGAGCTATCCTATCCTGGAGGAGTTATAAGAGGCCTTGAGTTTCAAAGCCTTGCCTACATTAAGAAATGATTCAGAAATACTGATACTAGTACACCTATGGCAACCTTAGCAATTTTGCCCTATGTCTTCTCATAAACTGTTATAATGCAAGTGTGAGATGAACCACACAGGGAAAGGTTGTCACCAGGGTCCCAGACAAACTCGTTGATGATTGCATTTGGGCCAACACTCTTGCACATTCACTCTCTGCAGCCTCAGCCATACTGAGATTCTTCTAAAAACTTCCCACCATGCTCAGTTGGTGCCACTGGAGGTGGAAGCCCTGTGGGGATTGGTTAATGGTGTTTTTGTTACTGTGTCATCTAGATCTACTGTTAGTGAGTTTGGCCAACATAAGGGTAAAAATAATTGCCAGTTGGCCTATACTACTTCTCCCTCAGTTGCTGGTGCCAATGGAGCTCTCATGGGAGATTTTCAGATCAGTCTTTATGTGGAGAGAAGCACCCCCATGCATCTGAACACACATACTTACATCTCTGGACATGAGGTTAGGTAGCAATACGAAAACAAAAGAATAAGAGATGAGCATAATGGTACAGCCGCTCCCCGACTTACAGCCACCTCCATTTACGACCATCCGCACTTACAACCAAAGCGGTCGTAAATCCGTGCTTATGAACAGCGCGGTCGCCATGTAACTCTGGCAGGGGTGTCCAAACTTTTTTCAAAGAGGGCCAGATTTGATGAAGTGAACATGCGTGAGGGCCGATCATTTTGCCTGCCATTCTTTGAACCATTAAAATTAAATGCAAATTAACTATTTTATGCAAAGTTTATTGCAAACGGCATACTTTTCATTTTGTCACATGGATGACAAATCTAAACAGGTGTTAAATCACTCTGCCTTTCATATCTGAAGGCCAGATGAAAAAAAAAATCCAGGAAGCTGAAATATATGTCAGGAACATTGTAAAGTACATTACATATTATTGGTAATAAAGGTTGTCTGTCAACTTTTAAGTTCAAAAAATATGAACAGGAACATAACACCAAGTATACATGTTGTGTCCAAATATATTTATAACTGATTTAGACCAACTGACTTTAACTGAGATTTTACAATGTATTCATCTCAATACATATGGATTCATTGGGGGCCATAAAAGATAGATATTGCCAAATTACCCGTGGGGCCGTATTAAACCGGAACACGGGCCGCAATTGGCCCGTGGGCCAGACTTTGGACATGCCTGCTCTATGGGATCCGAGTTACAAACAGTTTGAGTTACGGACCAAGTTTTGGTCCGTGACTCGTTCGTAACTTGGAGAGCGGCTGTAATTCATATACATCCATAATGACAATTAATAGACACTGGGGCAGAGAAAGAGTGAGGAGCCTGAAAATTGAAGTGGTTTGGTAATGCAAAACAAACTGTATCATCTCAGCATTACTGCACTATTTTAGTATTCAGTTTGATTGAAACTATTTGGCAAACTTAACGTGAGTTCATGAATTTTTGGGGGAGCTGACTGAAACTGCATTCTTGTATGAATACATTATTTGTGCAAAAATTTTTC